GTAGAGTCAGTGTCTTGGATGGCCACATACTCCAAATATTCTGGCACAGGCACAGTTCCAACTGTTTTCTCTTTCTTCTTGCCTTCGAACTGTACTTATTGAGCATCTATTTATGCTGAGCACTGAGGATCTAGCAGTGACTACAACAGATAGAGCCATGGTCTCTGTAGATAACCTCTGTAGAGGTGATCTCATTGTAAGATCTTATATTCTGAGTTAGGGTTTAGAAAATACGGTCATCTATCACTGAATTTATACCCCTGCTTTCCAATAGCAATAAAACCTCTACAGCCGGAGTTTAGGCTGAGTTACTTTTCTATCGTTTTTCTTTTCTAAGGCACTTGCTGCCAAATGTCTTTAGGGAAAACAGCCATAGCATGAGCCTGTAAGTAAGTTGTAAGTCACGCAAACATCCCAGGGAACAGTTTCATTGAGAGAGTCTCTGTATAGTTTACTGATGATGCCTGTCATGAATTCTGTTGCTTTGCACAGAGGGACTTGGGATGCTCTTTCAGTTGATTATGTCCTTTCCCCTTCTTTGGCAAAAAACTTTTTCGTTCTGTGCCTTTATTAGGGCTTTTGTTTTCATGGCAATTTTATCTGCAGTTGTTTTATGTCCAGGAAGCTTTTAGTAGGCTCAGTGTACATTTTTTAAAATTTGATTTTTTTTTAATACCGAGCAGCATTGTAAAGAAGTTGAAAAAGCTTTTAATTATGGAGAATTTCAAACATAAACAAAAGGAGACTGAATTGTGTAATGAATATTGGAGCCTTCACCCAGCTGACACCCCTCAATCTGTGGTCAGTCTCGCCCTATCTCCACCGCCGTCCACTTCCTCCACCCTGTGTCCCAGATGTCATAAATAGTTTAAGTATATTTCTCTGAGAGATAAAGATTATCTCTTAATATAATCACAATGCTGTTATCATGCCTAAAAATTAATATTTATCTTATGGGGAGATTATTTTAAAGGACATGGGAGGAGAAAAATTTAGCTATAAACACAGTGCCAAACATGTCAAATCTTTTTACATTTTTTTTCTGGGTTTTCCAGTTTTTGACCAAAACCATGCTGACGTTTTATAAAAGTAATAGAAGTCGCAGCTACTTTACAGCTTTTTCTGGATATAGATTTTATGCTTGGGGCAAATATCACCCCCTACCCCCACCCTGTGGCTTCATCTTAGAGGAACAAAGGATTTCTCTTCAGGGGACCAACTTTACATACTCTGGGTAATTCCCCAGAACCTCTTCCAACTTTCAAAGCTTCTTATTCGTTCAGCAAGTATTTATTGAGAACTCATTAAGTGTCCATCACTGTTAGATGCTGGGGATTATGGTGAAAAAGAATTCAGATAAGACCCTAGGCTTCTTAGAACTTTGATTTGGTAGGGAAACGGGCCTTACGTATCTCGTGATGCCAACAGTCACTCCATCATGGTTGTGGTAAGTGTTGTAGAGACCTGACTGTCTGAAGAGTTGGTGAAGATGACCTTGAAAGAAGAACATTTCAGCCCAGCAGTGGCTCTGCAGCGAGAGGGAACAGGCTGTGTAAATGCCTGAGACGCGAAGGAGGTTGGCTGATAAAGGAACAGAAAAGAGGCCCTGAGGCTGGAATGAAGTCGGGGGCTGTAGGGAGATGGATCCTGGGAGGCTGGAGAGGAGGCTCCCATCCCGGGCTCGCCTCCTCCCAGCGGCCCTGGATCTGAGAGTCCCCTCTTGGCTCCCGTAACCCTGAGGTCTGGGGCCACATGAAGCTGTGAGCTCTGATCCCTCTCCTCTGAGTTATCCTGAGGGTTTTGGTGGCTCAGATGGAGGAATCTGCCTGCAGGGCAGGAGAGCCAGCTTTGATCCCTGGATCAGGAAGACCCCCTGGAGGAGGAAATGGCTACCCACGCCAGTATTCTTGCCTGGAGAATCCCACGGACAGAGGAGCCCAATGGGCTACAGACCATGGGGTCGCAAAGAATTGGACATGACTGAGTGATTAACATACAAGCTATCCTGAAGGCTTTGTGGTTGAGGAAAGAGCCTAGATTTGGAAACACAAACAGGCACTTGAATACTGCCACCTTGGAAGAAATAGTAATATATACACAGTAGGGTTAATGTGGGGATTAAAGAAAACATTGTATAGTAAAATGGCTAGCCAAAAAATATTTTCTTTCTTTGTAAACACCCCTTCCCCCTCCCCATCACAGCCCAGCAACTCCTCAGGAGTCCTCTCCCTCTGGGGTGGCCCATGCTGATGGCCCTGCTCCTGTGTTGGGCCCTTCCCCGTGGGTCTCTCATTTAGATCCTGACTTTGTAATAATTTTTTAGTTGTCATTTTTTGAAAAAGTATTATTGAAGATGTGTAGTCCAACTTTCTAGATGTTTTACTCACTCAAACATGCACTTGCAAAACAAAAAATAGAAATATGAAATGTACTATTTTTTACTTAACAGGTCTTTGATATCTTTCCATTTGTGTAACTTTCAGATCCATGACCTCTCGGGATGTGTTTCACAGACCATGTTGTCCCTGGCTGGTCTGTATGTACCTCCATCTGTGGTGGTCCCCATCTCCCCTCATGGGCAGGGAGACAAGCTCTCTTGATCTGGTCACCTGAGCGTTTTCCTGTAGGCCAGTCCACCTGTGAAAACCTTTGCTTTTCAGAAACAAGTTTTCCCAAAGCCTTAGGCCAGCATCAGCTTGTTTTTCAGGAACTGGGTGGAGCTGGTGACTGAAAGATCTTGCTTTTGTTTCCTGGTACGTGGGAGTTTCATTAGAGCTTTTCCTCTTCCTGATTATACGTGTAGTAATGCTGGGATATCTAATCTGAGCTTCTCACTCTCTGAGTGCCATTTAACCCCCTACTCACCTAAACTTAGGTATCAACATTAAGAGTTGCCTCAGTGCCTGTGGGAGCCAGGTATGAGGAGCTCTAGTGAAAGCATTTTCCAGAAGCAATGCAAGTGTCCCACCCCTCATATTTTATCTCTTAACAAGTTTGTACAGAAGAGTGGGAAGCAATGGATGTTTTGTTATTTTTTAAGATCAATTTTAAGCTTTTGCCTGTGCTGAGTCTTCATTGTTGCACGTGGGCTTTTTCTAGTTGCAGCAAGCCAGGGCTAGTCTTTATTGCGGTGTGTGGGCTTCTCACTGAGATGGCTTCTCTTGCTGTGGAACACAGGTTCTAGCTGCGTGGGCTTCAGTAGTTGCAGCACATGGGCTCAGTAGTTGTGGGGCATAGGCTTAGTTACTCCATGGCATGTAGAATCTTCCGGGACCAGGGATCAAACCTGTGTCGCTTGCATTGGCAGACGAATTCTTAACCACTGGACCACCAGGGAAGCCCTTCTTATTAATTATTTTTCAAAAGGTCACATTGTAAGCGAATGATACATGAAGTTATAAAGAAAAAAAATCAAATTTCATTCTGACCTTCAGCATCCCTGCTCCTCCCCACCATCCCCTCCTTAGAGGTCATTACCAGTACCAGTGAAGTTGCTCAGTCGTGTCCAACTCTTTGCGACCCCATGGACTGTAGCTTACTAGGCTCCTCCATCCATGGAGTTTTCCAGGCAAGAGTACTGGAGTGGGTTGTCATTTCCTTCTGCAGAGGATCTTCTTGACCCAGGGATCGAACCCAGGTCTCCCGCGTTGCAGGCAGACACTTTAACGTCTGAGCCACCAGGGAAGCCCCAGCTTAGGGATCATTAATGATTAATAATTTGGTAACATTTACAAGCTTTGATTGGACCAAAGGTGGAATCATAAAGGACTTACTATTCTGCCACAAATGAATGATTTTAACATGCACAATGTAGTTTTATATGTCAAAGATGTTTTGCAAGTGCATAGAAAGAATTTATGCAAAGGTGGTTTAAAAATTAGTGCAAGAGCAAAGTTACCGTTATGAAACTCAGCCCTCTGTCCTGTGACATTGTCAGCACCCAGGAAGATTAGTTGTAGGCTGATTTTTCTCTGCCATCTCAGTCCCTCGTCCTTAAGTTGTTCTTGTCCCATCTCTTCCATGTTGTGATGGCCTACTCTGTCCCTCTACATCCAACAAAGCCTATGGGGAGGTGTCCTTAGTATCAGACAGAACTGGGCTTGAACCTAGGTGTGTGACCATGAACAAGAGACGAGACTTGACCTCTCTGAACTTAAGTTCTCTCTGCTATAAAGTGGAAAGGACAGTCATTGTGTTGTGGTGTGGCTGTGGAGATTAAATGTGTGAGGAACATGTCTAGCTTAGAGAAGGTGCTCAATAAATCTTAGTTTCTCTTGGCCACGTCTCCCCCTTCCCAAATGTATTTGCACTTCAGCAATGATGGGAGTTTTAACTGAGAGAGCCAAGGAGCAGAGGATTCTTTTGGAGTGATGTCATGCTGCCTCTGCCTGACTTTTCAGAAGTATTTCATGAATAATCACAACAGGGGACCCCACCTCCCTTCCTCAGAACTGGCTCCAGGGTCAGCTCTAACGTCAGAGGACAATCTGGCTGCCAGATGGCTGTCAGCATTCTTCCCCCCAACATATCTCAACCTCCTGCATTTCAGGCCACACAGTTAGTGATGACGATGAAGTCAGACAGAGAAACTAGCATAAAAACAGCTTTATCAAGAATGTGAGATTTCAGACACTCATTCTTGCTATCAGGGATGGCATAAGTCCATTAGGCACCTTTCTCAGAAGGCGCCTTTGTCAAAAAGGCACCTTCTCTGGGAAGATGGGTTCCTATAGAGGTGCTGCTTGATAAAGGGACAGAGCTTTGGTGGAAATTAGGACAAGGTGCTGGTCTTCCAGGGGAAAGATAGGCACAGGCCAGTTATGACTTGGTGAGTAGAGACCAGGTTGGATTTCCACTGGCAGTGATGCCTCTCTCCCATTGCCAGACATCTCAGTGCTGGGCACAACCTGCATGACCATGTTCAGTGGGCCCATGATGACAGCTGCCTCTGCAAAGCCTAAAGAGTCATCATTCTCTTCTCTTTTCCTCCCCTCTTTCAGCATCGTGACCTGAGCAATGGAGAAGCAACCAGGAAACTTCCTCAGGGTGTTGTCTATGGTGTGGTGCGAAGATCAGATCAAAACCAGCAGAAAGAAATGGTGGTGTATGGGTGGACCACCAGTCAGCTGAAAGAAGAGATGAACTACATCAAAGACGTGAGTAGTTTAAGGATTTTGTTTTCTGTTTTATAGTCTTGTAGCATGTAAGAGGGTTGAGTTGGAAGCTCTGATATGAACGTAATAAGTAATTTTGAAATAATTCTAAACATTGTCATTTTGGATGTAAAAACCACTACAGATCTTCATGGTAATGTGAAAAGTGTTAGTCACTCAGTTGTGTCCGACTCTTTGCGACCCCATAGATTGTAGCCTTCCAGGCTCTTCTGTTCATGAGATTTCCCAGGCAAGAATATGAGAGTGGGTTGCCATTTCCTTCTCCAGGTCGGGAACTTCCCGACCAGGGATCGAACCCAGGTCTCCCGCGTTGCAGGCAGATTCTTTACCATCTGAGCCACCAGGGAAGCACACATGTAATTTTGCAGTGAGGTACAGAATGAAGTTCTATATGTTATCAAGTAAGGAGGCTCAGTAGACCAAATAGCTTTTTTCTTCCATGTATGGTAAGGAGGCTCTTAGGTAGTTTTGCTTATTATATTGGACACTCCTAATATAAGAGTTTGGACAGTTGTATAAATTTGGATGCTTTTGGCTACAGGTAGCAGAAAAGCCAACTCTAAAAGGAAATTTTTCTTATGTAGGGATAAGTCTAGGGATAGGTGCACTCCAGGCAGGGCTCTCCAAGCACCAGTTCTACTTCTGAGATTCTCTTGGTTCTTTCCTCCTTCAGCCTCAGGCTCACAGCATCATCTGAATATATGATGGTGTCTGGAGAAGGAAAAGGAGACAATCATCTCTGGTTACCCTTTAGAGACCTGTCATCAGACTTGCACTTTTGTCTCATTGGCGAGGACCCAGGTCACATGCCCATTCCCAAATCCATCACTGGCAAGGGGAATGGGCCTTGCGAATTGGTTTGATGCTTCAGGCCAATCAGTTGGGTTGAAACAGATGCTGGGAAGTCAACCACAATAGACATTGTCCAACCCAGGCCAATTAATACCGTTTCTTTGTAATTAATATTACATTTCTTTTAAAGTGTACGTTCTTTGGAGAACTTTTGAAAAATATAAAGATGTATGAAGAAGAAAACAAAATCACCCATAATTCTACAATTCAACCAGAACAGTTGTTAACATTTTGGAGTATTTCCTTGTAACCTTTTATTTTCTTTTTATCTATCTGTCATCTATCTTTCTTTCCTTCCTTCCTTCCTTCCTTCCTTCCTTCCCTCCTTCCCTCCTTCCCTCCTTCCTTCCTTCTATCCATCCATCATCTCCATTCCTTCTTGGTCTACCCAGTGTCTCCCTAGATTGAATAGTGCCTTTGTTGTCAAACTGGAGTGATTAGATAGAGAGGATATGAGCTGTCTCAGACACTGGCCTGTGGACTAGAAAGTACTCGTGAGAAGCAGGGGCAGCATGGGCAATGGTGTCCCCATGGATCTTGGTTCAAGGTCCAGCTCTTTGACCCAGCCAAACTTTTGCCCTATCTGAGCTTCAGTTTCCTCATTTACAGATCATGGGGGCCGAGAAGGAACTGTTAAGGTCAAAACTAGCTCTGTTTTATTTGGCTGTGTTTGCCAGTAGGGCACAAACACGTGTGGTCAGCTTTTGTTTTGAGTTTTTGAGAAGAACATCTCTTATCAAATATCAAAAAATAATAAATGTACCTTTCTTAATGTGTGTTGAAAGATTTGGATAGTTGTACAGTTTTAAGGAATAAAAAAGATAATAAATTCTTAACAGAGAAAATGAAGAAAAGCCAGGTGAGCCATACTCATACACAAGCGGGCAGAGCCTGTCTCACAACTGTCAGCCTCAGAGCCCCAGTCATCCGAACCCTGAAGATCATTTTTAACCATTCGGAGTAGCCCATTCCTATGTTTCTATGTAGGGACAGCTTGTACCTTTTTGGTTGCCCCTGTTTTTCTCATGCAAATGCTTATGCCTTTCTCACTGAGATGCCCCAAATAACATGGCACCACTTCAGAAGTAAACCTACTAAGCAGATTGGTGAGTTGTAGATTGCCCAAGACAAAATGGTAGGTTCAGGCTGTCAGGTGTCCAAATCATATGGGAATTTCTGACCTGAATTGCCAACCTCCACTGTGATCTGCAATTTAAAATTAATTTTTTGGTCCCACCTTCTGTGGCTGGCTTCAGATCCATCCCAGGCTACTCATTCCTGAGTGTGTTTATGGATTTGTGTGCCTTCCCTCACTTGTGGGTGACTCTGGCAGTATTTGCCAACGGGAGTCACATCCAACTCCACCCACTCCTCAACAGTGAGTAGGCTGAAAACCAACTCAGCCCCACAGATGAAAGCCGTTCTGTCTGCCCAGAATGAAAAGGTTGTTGCTTTTGGCCTCATTTCCCCCAAAATGTTTGTATTCAATGGTGAGAAAGTAGATTCTATCATTACAGTTCATTTGGAAAGGGCAAGGTTTTGTGACTTGCTTTCTTCTGCCCTGAAATCTCCACCAATATCCAGTCATTCCTAATAAACATACAGTTTAAAGCAATGTGCTAGTTGTATAAATACAGTTTCAAAATTAAGTCCCCATGTACTGTGGCCTACTTAACCCCTCATTCTAACCAAACTGCTGCTTTTGAGCCTTTCCTGTGATAGAAGTTCCAGAGCCTTCTGGAGAGGGCTCCTTTGAGGCTGCTTTTTTTGTATGAGAATCCCTGAGTTCTTCATTCAACCAAGGGAGCACCAGAAGAAGAGTGAATAAAGAGGCTATCTGTTAGGTGTTTTGTTTCTATTGAGAATATATTTAAGGCCCCATTACTCCTCTGAAAGTGGTATTACAGAGAAATTTAAACAGAGTTTGTATAAACAGGTGTTTGGGGCAATCACCATGACTTTTCTTATATTTAGTGCCTTGTGTAGTGTTGGTGATTATTGAGGAGCTGACTTTCACATTTATGGGCTCTCTAAGCTCATAATTTCCTTCCTTACATTCCAAACATTTATTTGTTCTTTGGCAGTCAGGACAGCAATAGGGAAAATTAGAAGTGCCTTTTTTTTGTTTGTTGTTTTGGTCTGCCTAGTCATGCTTTTTGGCACCCCTGGTGGCTCAGTAGTAAAGAATCCACCTGCTGATGCAGGAGACGTGGATTTGATCCCTGGGTTGGAAAGATTCCCTGGAGAAGGGAATGGACACCCACTCCAGTATTCTTGCATGGAGAATCCCATGGACAGAGGAGCTTGGCAGGCTACAGTCCATGGGGTTGCAAAAGGGTTGGACATGATATAGCGACAAAACAACAATAGTCATGTGTTTACGAAGTTGACCAGTTAAACAGTTTCTACTTATAAAAATATGTGATAGGAAAAAGGGAAATCCTGCCTGAATATGATCTTTAGGGTGGTAGGTAAATTTCAATAAACCATTTTTTCTTCAGAGCATGTTATTTGATAATTAATACTTATTAATAATTATATATAATCAACAATGTGTATTTATTATTATCACTATTATTTGGATAATTCCCTTGTGATAGTCTTTCTTAATATCCCAAATTGTTCTGTTCCTCAGATTATTTTTTTGTGAGGCCCTTCTCTCGTTAGGGTTTCTTAAATGTTTTAGAAATCTCACATGAAAATATTGTAGCTTGATCTCTAAACAGCATTTTTGTGGGCTGCAGGTGAGAGCCACTTTGGAAAAAGTAAGAAAGAGAATGTACGGAGATTATGATGAAATGAGACAGAAGATCCGACAGCTTACCCAGGAACTGTCAGTAAGTAGCACATGTGAAGGGATGCTAGCACTTAGAACTGCCTCTCGGTTGCTAGTGCCTGAAGGTACTTGAGTTTATCATGTTCCTGTGAGTGGACTCATAGGAACGTGACTGTGCTGGGTCTTTGGTGCAGCTTGTGGGCTCTCCAGATCTGAGAGCCCATAGCACATATAGTTGCTCCATAGCGCATGGAATCTTAGTTTCCTGACCAGGAATTGAACCCACCTCCCCTGCACTGGAAGGCAGATTCCTAATCCCTGGACCACCAGGGAAGTCTCTGGAATCATATTTTACATGAATTGAGGGAATAGTATCACAGGATATTATTTGAAGTTTATTATTTGAAGGAAAATTTTTGTGGCAAGAAGAATTTTTCACTTTTAAAGCATTCCCTCCAAAGTCAAGAGCAAGATGAGGAAGCCAGCTCTACTATTATTATTTGACATTGTACTGGAGAGACTAACCATGGAATTTAGCAAGAGAAATAGATTTAGAGGTATAAAAACTGGACAGATAAATGAAAAACTATCAAAGATTACAAACTGTATGACTACATACCCAGAAAACTCAAGTGAACCAATGAAAAAACTGCTATAAACAGAAGAATTCTGTAAGGTATTAGGGTAAAATATTAATGGACATGGACAAATAGATTGCAATATGCAAAAAACTAGTTAGAGGAGATAAAAGCAACAAAAAACTGCCAGATATGTGGAAATAAATTTTAATAAGTAGAAAGACATTTATATCATGTACTTGGAAAGGAAGATTCAACATCATAAGACATTAATACCATTCATGTTGATATGTAAATTTAATATAACCCAGTAAAAGTAGTAAAGGATTTTTATTTTATGTTGTTCTTTTACAACTGAACTAGGTGGTTCCATGGTGTACAGAAAATAAATATGAAGAGTTAAAATTCTGGGGGGAGAAAAAGGCAATGAAGGAGACTAGCCCTTTTAATATTATAAGAAATTGAGAAAGCCTCAAAGATGAAAACAGCACAGTATTGGCACATAAATAAATAGATATTAATGAAAAAGAGCCCAGAAATGTAACCCAATCTATGATAAATGTAGCACATGAAATGAAGAGAGGAAAATAGACTGGTCAGTATATGCTGTTGGGACAGACTTATATCTGGACAAATTCTGGGTAGATTTTGTTAAATTTAGTGCCAGAAGAAAATACATGTGAATTGTTTTATACTCTTGGAGAGGGGAAGGTATTGTCTTATGAAGAGATGCAATTCCCAAATCACTGAAGGAAGAGTTGATAATTTTGACTACATTAAAATGAAGACTAGTGCTGGCAAAAATACCAAAGTCAAATGACAACCTGGGAAAATTTTTTTGCCTTTGTACTATAGGTAGTAGGCTTGGAGAAGGAAATGGCAGCCTACTCCATTGTTCTTGCCTGAGGAATCTTGTGGACTGAGGAGCCTCGTGAGCTGCAGTCCATGGGGGTCGCAAGGAGTCAGACATGACTGAGCGACTAGTAGGCTAATATCCTGGGTACTTAAAAAGTGCCCATGAATCAAAAAGAAAAAGGCCACACCTCATAAAAATAGGCAAAATATTTGTGACAGATAATTTATAGTAAAGGACAGATGAAGAGATCTTAAATTCCTCATTCTCAATAAGAGAAACTCAAATTAAAATGGTCCTGTGATGTTTTTATCTAGCAGACTGGCAATACTGCAAAAGTGGAACAAGATGCTGTACTAACTGTGCTATAGAAGAACAGGCAGATTGTTGCTTGGAATGTGGTTTGCATTACTTTTAGGGAGAGCAGTTTGGAATATCTACCCAAATTACAAATGCCTACATCCTTTGACTCAGCAGTTCTCTTCCTAAGAATTTATTCTATAGAAAAACTCTCACGTATGTGAAATGATGTATGTATAGACTTAGTTGTTAAACATTGTTTATAATAGTAAAAAGATTGGAAACCTTACAAGTCCATTAAGAAAGAGAAAATAAAAAAATACATTGCATCTCTACAATCACAGAGTTGTGTAAAAATAAAAATGAATAAGTTCTTCAAAAATATACAGAAAAATTTCAAAGATATAGAGTAAGTGGTGAAAAAGCAAGACACAGGAAAATGTCATGTATAGTATACTACCATTTATGTAAACTAAGAGGAGAAAATAAATATATCTAGATTGTGTGTGTACAAAAAATTACTGGGAAGATCATCAAGAAAGTAATTAACAGTGGTTCCTGCTTGAGGTGCAGAGCAGACACAGTGGTAACTGAGCAGATGGGACAGGAGTGAAAAAATATTTCATTTAGTGTCTAATATTTAGAAATACTTAGTGACTGTTCTACTTTTAAAATGTTTGAACTCTAGGAATATATTGCCTACTCAAAATTAAGGAAAAAATAAGCTTCCCCTGGTTTAACCTAGCTAATGCTTTATGGGAAAAACATTTAAAAGAATACTTGTGGTTAATAACNTGTCTGGACTGTGAAATTATCTGCTTAAGTAAGACCTACTACCTTGATTATGTGGGGTGCGAGTATACAGGCATATCCAGCTTGTCATTCTCATTGACATGTAGGAAGAGATTTGTGAAATTGTCACCTGCCAATGGAAATTCACTCTGCCATCACTGACACTGACTGTAATTAAAGCCAAAGGGTTGGATTTGCAATAGATGCATAAGCAGGTCTCTGCCCCTTGCTTTCCATTGCCACGTCCTGCACACCCTCGTTTTCTCATCTAGACTGTCACAGGAGCTCCATCTCTACCCGCAGTCTCCTCCTCCTCCGGGTCACACCACAGACTGTAGCCAGGTTAAGATGCTAACGTGGGACTTTCCTGGTGGTCCAGTAGTTAAGACTTCACCTTCCGATACAGGAGATGTGGGTTTGATCCCTGGTTGGGGAACTAAGATACCACATGCCTCATAGGCCAAAGGTCAAAACATAAAACAAAGCAATATTGTAACAAATTCAATAAAGACTTTAAAATGATCCACATCAAAAATAATCTTAAAAAAAAATATCCTAACTTACTGGCTGCATGAATGTGCCCTGAGCAGGAACACACCTCCTGCCCCTGGCCTACTATTTCTTCCCTCTCCCAAGGGTACACCTCTCGCTGTCTCATGCCTGACTGCTTCCTATGGCTCCCACAGGCCTCACAGGATCGACCCTTGAGTCTCCCAGAACCTTACCTCTGGTTCTATTGCCTCCTGGCCTTTCTATATACCCAGCCCTTCTTTAAGGTCTAGCTTAAGACTGGGCTCTGATGAAACTCTCTGAAACACATTAAATATACATCCAACAAAGACAACACAACAGCAGTAGCAGCCACTCCTAGGAACTGGGTGAGTCCAGAGCATATTCCTTCTATGGTGAGTAGACGAAAGCAAGATGGTACAAAGTGGTATCCAACTAGATTCTAGTCGTAAAGGTAGCTATGCATTTGCATTCAAATCCCTTAACTTCTCTCCTTCCCTTTCCTCCCTATAAAATGGCATGTTCTGGGGGCTGCAGAGTGTAAGTGAGGCCCTGTTGGGGAAGGGGTGAATATCATCCAGAGGAGAAGTTGTCTTGCCTTTCTGCTCTCTGGTTCATGTGGATGTTGACTTTGTAATGTAAAGCTGTACTTGAAGTATCATTGACCCCGATGTGCCTGCCCTCAGGAGAAAGTTGTGACCTAGCTGAAGATTTTTGTGAGCATGTATGGTTTGGTTGTGTGTAACTGTCTCCTCAATCTGTCCAGGTTTCACAGGCAAAGCAGGACTATCTGGAGAATCACATCCAAACCCAGTCGTCAGCCCTGGACAGTTTTAATGCCATGAACGCGGCGTTGGCGTCGGACTCCATCAGCTTGCAGGTACTCATCTGCTCCCCGTTGGCCGGGTTGTCCTCTGCTCCAGTGCATGTGAGCTTAGCCAAGGGTGGGCCCTCTGTCTTTGTATTAAAGTGTCACAGAATGTTCTCGGCTGATTATTCAGAATACACTGGGCCACAGCAAAGGCTGAGCCAGGGAGACGGTTAAGGAAGGAAGCTGATGGAAACGCTTCCAAGCTGAGACTCCCAACCTTGCAGTTGCAGTTGTTTTTGCCCTTATTAAAATGGGGGTTTAGATCCTGAGTTCAGCGCTAATGATGTCACTTGTCCCACTAGACACCTGAGTGGTCCTAAGCATCAGTGCCTGAAGCAACATATCACCTGCTCCCTCATGCCGCAGTGTTAGAAGTCTCACCAGTCACAGGAAAGATGGACTTAACCCAAGGCAATCCTCATTCATTCATGATGAGTAACTCCCAAAGGCTATTAGGCATGTTTTCCTAATTTAGAAATTACTTTGCATTAAAAGAAAAAATCATGTGCTTTCCAAAGAACACCTAGTAGTGCCAGACAGGGATGCCCAAGAGTCAGGATCCTACACGTGTGTAGATGTGTGTGGTCAACCCACATCAAGGGGATTCTTCTCATTATTACTTGGATTTGTTTGGAGTTAATCCCTCACATGCTGCCTATTGTTACTCTTTCAACCGACTGCCCCCGCCACATGTACTATGCAGATTAACTTGAAAATGTTCAGAGCCAGGCATTAGATTCAACATTATATTCAACAGCCTCCTCGGGCTTTAATTTCCAAACATGCAAATAATAGATCTGTCCCCTTCCAACTTCATTTGGCTCTTATCTCTTTACCTTCCTCTTCAAAGTTCACACAAGCTATTTCATATCCTTTCTGGTTCTCTATAAATAATTTGCTAGATAAGCAAACAAATTTTTATGTTGGGATGATCCACTTCCCCTAGGATCCAGTATATTTTGCTGACAGATGATTGGGCAGTAGTGCCAGCAACGAAGCTAGTATATAGTCCCATAGTGGGCCTGCGCCGGCCTTGTGTTTGGATTTGTCTGGAAGCCCATTTCAGGTGGGGCTCTGAGTCCCACCCTTTTCCTGGCTCCCCTTAGAGCATGCCAGCTTTCCCCTGGCCTCAGGCCAGGCCCTGCTTTGGGTCTGGTTTATTCAGTAGCCTTTGTTTTCCCTTCCTCCTGCCATCAAAATTTCCAAACATGCAAATAATAGATTCTGTCCCCTTCCAACTTCATTTGGCTCTTATCTCTTTACCTTCCTCTTCAAAGTTCACACAAGCTATTTCGTATCCTTTCTGGTTCTCTATAAATAATTTGCTAGATAAGCAAACAAATTTTTATGTTGGGATGATCCACTTCCCCTAGGATCCAGTATTTTTTGCTGACAGATGATTGGGCAGTAGTGCCAGCAATGAAGCTAGGATATAGTCCCATAGTGGGCCTGGGCCGGCCTTGTGTTTGGATTTGTCTGGAAGCCCATTTCAGGTGGGGCTCTGAGTCCCACCCTTTTCCTGGCTCCCGTTAGAGCATGCCAGCTTTCCCCTGGCCTCAGGCCAGGCCCTGCTTTGGGTCTGGTTTATTCAGTAGCCTTTGTTTTCCCTTCCTCCTGCCATCAAGGGGGCTTGCCCAGGCTCCCTTTCCTTCCCTCTTGGACATGTTCTCACCCTGGCCAACCAGGAAAGGCTGCATCTTACTTGATTTCACATCTGGTTGATATCTGTGTTTTTTTTCTTCCCCATCATAATTCTGATTTGTCACCCCCTGTTGACTGGAAAAACAAAAACAAAAACAACACACAACCTAAAAGTTGAGAGTTCTGTTTTATTCAGTGACCCCCCTGAGGACTCATAGCCCAGGATTCGGTCTCTCAGAGAGTTCTGAGGAACTATTCCAAAGAAGTAAGGGAGGACCAGGATATACAGGAGTTTTGGCTGAAAAAAAAAAATGTAGTCAAACATCAGAAGGTTGCTGTTAATCACAAAAGAGAGACATCTTAAGTTAATGTTTTTCATGCTTTTCTATGTGTGATAAGATGTCAGAGTCTGGGCTCACGGACATTATTTCTTCGGTATGCATCTTAACTCTCTAGGCTTAGTGTCCTGCTTTTTCCCCATCCTGAATTCCCCTCAGGGCACACTGTCAGGTGGGCTGCCCTGGCTGATGACTTGATGGCCAGCAACATTCATTGTTTTTTGGAATGGCAGGCAGGCAGCATTTTTGTCCCCATCACTGACACTCCAGCCATTCACTTCAAAGGTCAGCTGTTAGAACAGGGTCTACCCTAACCCAGGGACCCTGACTGATTCCTCATCACGGTCTAGTCTCTTATTCCAGGGCAGTCAGAGGAGCCTTATAATGAAAAGATTAAAAACTGTTGTTTGAGAAAAATAAAAAGAAGAAGTGGGTGGAGGCAGGGGAAGGGGAGAAGTGGAGGACAGAAAGATACTGTCTCATGGCCAGGAAACTCAAATGAGTCTGAAGATGTTAACTTCTTACTTCTTCCATTGTCTAGTCTACCCCATTTTCATTATTAATGACACCAAGACCAGGTCTTCATTTTGACTTTATAAAATGTCAAAGCTGGAAAGAACAATTGAGATGATCTCCAACCCCCTTGTTTGATGGATAAACAAACAGACCAACAGAAATGACTTGAACGAAGTGTATAGCTCCAGTCCTGGTCTCTTGGCACCTGATACAGGTTCTGAGCACAGAACTGGTCTCTGTAAAGCCAGTGGGACTTAGAGAGAGGATGCTTGGCCAGGTGGCTTTTCAAGCTCCTTGCACCTCCAATATTCTGTGATTCCAGCCTCCAAATGGCTACTGTATTTTCTTTAATACCTATATACCACCATTAAAAATCCTTTTTACTGACTTGAATACGTTTAGGAATGAGGCTTATTATCCAAAGTGGAGGTTCAGGAGTGGAGGAGCTTCAGACACTGGCCAGCTACAAAGAGGACACAGGTGTTAGGAAGTGAGTCCAACACCAACATCTTATATTAGAAGAATTTCCAACTCTTCTAATAGAGAGTTGTAGGTAACTTCAGGAGGCGGTAGGAGGTGGTAGAAGTTGCCTTGTGTCTATTGCTAGGAATTCTGAAGTTGTGGAAGTCATTCCTCTGCAATGAGAGTTAAGCATGAAATAGCAACAATATTAATTTAAGCATTCCTGCTTCAGTGGGCGGTCTTGATTAATAAGCATCAGGCACTTGTCAGGCACTTGTCACAGACTCTGTTCCCTGATCCTCCCTTCATCACCACCCTTCTCTGCCTGAGGGAGGAATGTGAAGCATATGCAGCATCATAGTAGCCTCAGCCATGTTGTTGCTATTCCGGCAGCTCATCTAAAAGTATTGAAGTAAACAGCCTGTTTAAGAAAAAAGGGGGAATACCTCCTTTTTATAAAATACCTATTTTGTTTTCTGATTTAGGAATTTGGAAAATGTAGAAGATTTTAACCGAGAAGAAAGTTAATACCATCCATACTCCTGTCCCTAGTGAAAGCTGTTATTTGAATTTGGGTAACTCTCCTAGTCTTAGCCCTATCTCCCTGGTGGCTCAGCAGTAGAGAATCTGTCTGCCAATGCAGAACATATGGGTTCAATCTCTGGATTGAGAAGATCCCCTGGAGAAGGAAATGGCCGCCCACTGCAGTATTCTTGCCTGAAGAATACCATGGACAGAGGAGCCTGGTGGGCTACACTCCATGGGGTTTCAAGAGTTGGACACAACTTAGTGACTAAACAACAGCAAGAATTACAACCTCCTAGTCTTTTTTTCTCCCCTCTGGGCATTTGAACAGATGCTTATGCGTTTTTTTTTTTCAGAGTGGGGTTCTTCTGTATTTACTGTTTTCAAACCCAATTTCTTTACATGTGAAATTATGTATCATTAACATTTTTCCTTGGAAAAGGGTTTGATCCGTTTCCATCCACCCTAGGCAGTGACATGTGGTGTTGGCAGCAGCAATGGGGAATTATGGGGAAGCTGACTGGCCCACCCATTACAGGGCAACAGACCTCCTGACCACCAGGGGGCCCTCAGGCGCTCTAATGCCAGGGGCCCAGGCTTGTAGCGCCTGTTGCTGATGTCTCCCTCAAGGGTTAATGACAAGGGATGTCCGGTGTGGTCTGGCCTGTTTTCTCACACTGCTAGATCTGGTTTTTATTTTCATCCCATCAGAAAACCCTCGTGGATGTTACTTTGGAGAACAGCAACATCAAGGATCAGATCAGAAATCTGCAGCAGACGTACACAGCCTCCATGGACAAGCTGCGGGAGAAGCAGAGGCAGTTAGATGCGGCGCAGGTTGAAAACAAGCTGCTGAAAATGAAGGTAAATACAGGAGCATGGATTTCCTGCTCACCTCTTCCTCCTCCTCCTCTCTCCTTCCATCATCAACTCTCCCATGCTGTTTTCTCCATTCTCTTCTCTGTTGGGTTTTGTCACCCTTCTATAGCCAACCCTGCAGGATTTGACCTGAAGGCACTGAGGTTTCTGTGTTCAGAGCTGTCGGTGCAGATTGGGGGGGCACCCCATACACACCCCATTGGGCTCTCCTGCCTTGATCCCAGTGGCCTCAGCTGCCGAGACCTCATCATGGCACTGCCCTTATATACTGAGAGGGCCCCTGGGATGCCTGCAGGTTTGGGGCTTGAGAAGCTTCAGTGTTTGGGACTTCCCCGGTGGTCCAGTGGTTAAAAATCTGCCTGCCAGATGCATGGGACACGGGTTTGATCCCTGGTCTGGCAAGATCCCTCATGCCACGCGGCAACTAAGCCTGTGCACAGCAACTACTGAGTCTCGCTCTAGAGCCCGTGCTCCACGACAAGAGGACCCACTGCAGCGAGAAGCCTGAGCACCAAACAAAGAGTAGCTCCCGCTCACTGTAATTAGAGAAAACCCGCACGCAGCAACGAAGACCTAGCACAATCCCAAAATTAATTATTTAAAAAAGAAGCTGCACTGTTTAGCTTCTCTTTTAGATCCCAAGGCCTTTTTGTCTGGTTTAACAATAAAGAGCTGAGGGGCCCCCCTGGAAGAAAATGGATGGGTGACCAAGGACTCTGGGTGGTGTCCTTCCTGCCGCCAGGCCTGGCTTATTCTGCAGCTCAACCTCTAAGGCCCTGGAGGTCTCAGTACTCCTTCCATATGTGAAGCATGGAGCACTCACTCATCTGTGGGTCTGCTCCTGGCTCTGGTTAGAGTTCCTCCCCAGTGCCAGGAGCTGACCCACAAACAGCTCCCAGAAGTCACTCAACAAATTATTTCCTGAATGAATTTGTTTTCATTTGAACCTGTGCTTCTCCGATTATGTTCAACACAGCCTAGGCTGTTCTAGAGGAGAGTGCCTTGTGGGTTGTATACCCACATGATTTATTGCACGAATCAGAGTATGTTGGGGAGTGAAAGGAAGTGCTGTTAAGAATTAGGGGAATAGCCTGGGCCACATGGTCCTCTCCCTAAGGGCTGCCCATGGGGCAGCCGATGGGGAGGACAGGCTGCTACCCCACACTGCGTGGTCTCCACGATGGCTGCCCATGGGCCTGCCATCACCACCCACTTGGCCAAACACAGCCACCTGGGGAGGGGAAGGAGCCAGGGAACTGCACAGTTAGTCAGCTCTCTCTGCTTTCACTTCAAACAGGGCTGTTCTTCTATTTATGCTTTCATGTATTGTATTTCTGCATAAGAGTTACTTCGAAAAAACGGGGTTTGTTGCTGAAATATTCTGAAGTGACTTAGGAGTTTCTCCCTCAGGGCAGGATCTTTATGCAGTCATTCATCCCACAAATACGTATTCAGTGTCTACTCTCTGCATCCATGCTCCGTACCCGTCTGTTCCAGTGCTGTGGCGTCAGGGAGACCAAGCCTCTAACACAGCCTGCAACTGTGTTTTGGAGGCTGATGCTTTACCCCAAAGTAACAATTTAAGAAGTGACAGTATTTCACGTAACCTGGATGCAGCGTCAACAGGACACGAGGGACAGAGCTTGTTCTCGAAGTGGAGATGAAGCACAGGACACCCTGGGTCTCTCTCAGTTCATGATAATCTCCGTTCAGGATTTCCCGTGTTGTGGCTTCTTGGTACCAAAACTTGCCTGGTGATGAGAAAGGAGATGAAGAGGACATCGGGGAAAACTTGGGCCAAGCCTTGGAAGAAAAAACAAGGAAACTCCTAAAGGTGGAAGAAAACCTGCCTAAAAAAAAAATAACCAACCAACCAAACCAACCCCCCTGAAATAACAAAAAACCGGAAGGAAAAGACACAAACACACTTTCAGAAGCATAAAATTAATGGCCTGAGCTTTACAGGCAAGGTCAGGGCCTGGGCAGAAAGGAAGCAGCAGCCACCCCCAATGTACGCCTGCCTGCCCACTTTACTTTTTCTCATCTCCTAAGCTGGGTCTGTGCAAGCCCCCAGATTAGGTTCTGCAAACAACATGGGAGTATTTCCAAATGCAACAATTGGGAAAGCACAGAAGTATGGGAAGGATGAGTCCAGATTTCTCACATGAGCGGAAGTCTTCCCTAGGGATTGATTGTGAGTGCAGCTAATAAGATGGTTTCAGTTCCATGTGGCACCTTCTCTTCAAAGACTTTCCTGCTCATCTGACTTAATTTTTTTTTTAGTGTATGCTCGTGGGGGGAAAATGTCAAACAAATATGAAAGGTAACGTAGAGGTAGGCATACACCATTTTACATTCCTACCACCATGTAGGAGAATTCCAGTTTCTCCCCATCCTTGCCATTACTGGTTACTCTCTTACTGATTATAGCCATCCTCATGGGTGTGAAGTGGTAGTTAATTGTAGTTTTGCATCGTTGATAACCAGTGATGTTGAGCATTGTTTCATGCATTTGTTGATCATTTGTGTATTTTTCCTGGAGTATCTGTCAGATCCTTTGCCCATTTTAAAATTAGGTTATTTATATTTTATTGTTGAGTTATAAAAATTCTTTATGTATTCTGGATACAAATTATTAGATGTATAATTTAAAAGAATTTCCCCCCTCTCTCTGTGTTGTCTTTTCAATTTCTTGATGCTAACCTTTGAAGCACAGCAGTTTTTAATATTGAATATCAATGAAGTCAAATTTATCTATCTCTTTTTTTGTCAGTTGTACTTTTGGAGTCATATCTGAGAAGCCATTGCTTAATCAAAGGTCACAAATTTTCTTTCTAAGAGTTTCATAGTTTTGGCTTTAACATTTTAAGTTTTTCTTACATTTTAAGTTCATTTTTATATATGGTATTTTAGTGACCCAACTTCATTCTTTTGTATATGACAAATCTGATTGTCTCAGCACTATTTGTTGAAAAGACTCTACTTTTCACAGTGAATGATCTTGGTAATTGTTTAAAATTGTTAATTGTTTAACAATTTAATTGCTTAAACAATTAAACAAGATAATTATTTAAAATTTAATTTCTATATCAGGTAAATTATTGGTTTCAAAGTCAGCTCTATGAAACAAGTGTAAGAAATAGAACGTCTGTGTCTGCCCTTTCCTCTCTTATTGCCTCTTTCTTCATATGGAAAACCTTTTTATTTTTTAATTTTATAGTTTATCCTGCTCTGACCCAATTCTGATAATGTAGTGGTCTTATTTTCATCCCACAACAGAGTGAATTTGTTTTCATTTGAATCTGTGCTTTTCAGATTATGTTCAGCACAGCCTTAGGCTGTTCTCGAGGAGAATGCCTTGTGGGGAGAATACCCTCATGATTTATTGCTCAAGTCGCTTAAATTCTTGAGTACTCAAGACTTTCAAAAAGCATGTCTTTCTGAGGCCAGTTAGAATGTGGGTATGTTACCTAGTATAGTGAAGGACAGGGAAGCCTGGCATGCTGCAGCCCATGGAGTTGCAAGAGTCAGACACCATTTAGCAACTGAACAACAACAGTATTACCTGGAGAAGAAGGGTTGTTAAAACTGATAGAATAAAATATGATAAAATTTCAGGAGCAAAAGAACATTACATAGGAAAAGGCACGAAGAAAGGGGTTAATAAGACAGTGCGGGGACTCCCCTGGTGGTTAAGAATCCACCTTGCAATGTAGGGGACATGGGTTTGATCCCTGGTCGGGGAGCTAAGATCTCACATGGTGTATAGCAACTAAGCCTGACCGCTGCAATTACTGAGCCTGTGCGCCACAACTCGAGTCCGTGTGCCGCAGTAAAAGATCTCACGTGAAGCAACAAAGATCCTGTGTGCCCTAAGACCCAACGCAGCCAAATAAAAATAAAGAAAAAAATAAGACAGTGGAGCACATTTTAGAGAGAATTCAAATTTTAAAACAGATTTGAGGTGCCGTGTTGATAGAGAAGTATGTTTCTACCTTGTGAAAAAGTCACTCGTGGAGCACCGTTTCCTGATAATATTAGTATCAAGGAAATATGTTTGCAGGGCTACTTTTGATGTTCCATGCACCCGCTCGCCCCTTCTCCTCCTCCTTTCTCTTCCCCCATCAGTTCCTGCTGCCTGTGTCCCCTGCAGAGCCCTGGCCCCTGGGCCCACTCCGCTGTGCGTTCGTGCTTAACATGTACACAGTGGAAGGGGCGGACTCGCCAGAACCTGCTGCGGCCGTGGCTCTGAAGTGCGTCTCTTTGCAGGTGGAATCCTCCCAACAAGCCAACGCGGAGGTGATGAGAGAGATGACCCGGAAGCTCTACAGCCAGTACGAGGAGAAGCTGCAGGAGGAGCAGCGGCGGCACAGCGCGGAGAAGGAGGCCCTCCTGGTGTGTATGTCCCCTGCTCGGCGCTGGGCGCGTTATTGTCGGTGGGCTTTACATGGGAAGGTGTGTGCTCGGAGGGGAGTTAGTGGACTCTAACGTGGGTTTAGTGGGTGCCCACTCACTCCCCTCCCTTCCCCCTCCCTTCCTTCACTCACCTTCCTCCCTGCTGAAAAGAGGCCTCAATCTCTGTCTCTCGGTACACCCCTTTCTCCAGCCAGTCTGGCCATTTGCCAGCATCCAGGCTGATCCTGCAGCTGTGCATTTCCTCACCGCATCTTCTCCTCCTTCCCTGTCCCAATCCTGCTTATGCTCCCTGAGAGTCTTGAAGATGCCAGCATCTCCACGAATGAAGTCTTTCCCCCTCACACAGCTGCAAGTGGCCTCTGTCCTGGGGAAGCCCATTCTTTCTCTTCTCTGCTCTGGAATTCTCTTGTCCCTGTTTAATAACAGGGAGCTGGGCTGTGCATCTCCCATCTTGGCTTCTCTAGCAGAGCATCGATTCCTTGAGGACAGGGACGCCGATCTGCCTCATCTTGTGTTCTCGCAGGCTTGGTACATGTGCTGAATAATTGACTGAGTTAGTGTTTGGGAGAAACATCTGGGCACTCTGCATTCAATTCCACTTCTAGCCCTAATTCCCTTTATGTTGTTGGCAAATACAGTGATACTTTGAGCATCTTTTCAGGAGATAAATAACGTTTGTAGGCTCTTTTTTTTTCCTCAAGGGGAGGAAAAAGGCAGAAAGGTAACTAGGTCCTTGCAATGTGTCTTTTCTTCATTGGTTAGAACCAGAATAATGGAATTTGAGTTCATGATTCTCTGAGACTCTTCTAGGCTCCCAGGTCATGCTGGGTCATGCTTCTAAAGAGACAAGATGATTTAGCAAGACCTGAGCTGTTTGAACCCTGATTGGTAGTGACTGCGTGCTCTGCTGAGAAGAGTGCATTTCTTTTGCAGGAAGAAACCAATAATTTTCTGAAAGCCATTGAGGAAGCCAATAAAAAGATGCAGGCGGCAGAGATCAGTCTAGAGGAGAAGGACCAGAGGATCGGGGAGCTGGACAGGCTGATTGAGCGCATGGAGAAGGTAACATAACTTGGAGCCCGCGGGCCCCTTGCCCAGCCTTCCTGTAGTGTAACAGCTCCCCTCAGACCTGCCCAAAGGTGTGAGAAGCCCTCACCACAGATCCCTCTCAATCCTACAACTTGTGACTTGAAATAACAAAAACAGAACTATAAAATAAAGTATATGGATGTAAAGCCATTATCCTTCAATTAAAAATACATCTAGAAAAAAAAGAAACAGCAAAAAGTAAAGTATATGGAAGTTCTACCAAGTCCTAAGTGTTCCTGTGTTGAAAATTTTGATGCTTCTAACATCATTACATACAAAGTTATTTACAGAAGTTAATCTTTTAGCAGCCCTGTTTTGCTGGGACCCTCGGCATGAACTTAGTTTACTTGGCAGGCCATCAAGCCCTATTTCCATGTTGCATCGACACCCCAAGCCAGTTGTTTCTGGGACTGGGGTCTGAAGGGTGGGTTATGCATCAGAATAGGGGACATTGCTCTCCTGGGTGGGAGTGGAGTGGGGAGAGGCCTGCAGAAGACAGGAGCTCAGCTGGGATAATGAGCCACTCTAGAGAGAGGGAAGAAATGAGGTGGGAAGTGGAGAAAAGAGGAGAAGTGGGAGAGAGGAAAGAGAAAAAGGAAGAAAGATGATGGGAGGGTGACCTTTACTGGGTGACAGCTGACTTCTAGGGGAGAGTGGTGGTTGAGGACTAGAGCTGTGGCTGGATTCTAGGAAGTGGGAGTTGTATGAGTTTATGAAAGAGAGGGGACCAGCCAAGACCACCCCTTGGCATCCTGTGACCCACACTGGACACTGAGAATCCCCAGGCCAATGATAGAGGGAGGGGGAATGACAGGGGAAGCAGGGTCAACAGCTGGGCTTCCGGTTGGTTCCGAGAAGAGAGCTGACCTATGATGTCTGTGGTCTGGTCCCCTCTATATTCCTCTGACCAGGAAGGTGGGAATAGCCTTAAACAGAGCTCCTTGGCTGGCTAGGGAGCTCTTCTTTTAAGTAATATCTTTTGAGGGGAGGGACTTGAATAAATATAGTCAGTTAAAATTTCACCTCTACTCTCTGGGAAAGCAGAATCCCATCTTGTCTTGAAGAGAGGGTCAGTGGCATGGTTAGGGCTGACGTCAGTACTGCTTGTAGATGGTGGTTGTAATGACTGGGCAGAGAAGGCATTTTCTAGAATGCAGGCGAGCTTTCCCCTACATCGCTGCTTGCCTGCAACAGCAGAAGGTGCTGGTTAAAGCACACTCCGCTTGAGTGAGAGGCTGTCCTGCAGCAAACAGGAGCCAGGTGAGCGGGTGGTCTGGGGAGGGGTGTGGGCAAGGAAACCATATCACAGAGAGACCATCCATGTTTTAGAATCACATGAACCTAGGGTTTGAGTCTTGCCTCTCTTTCTAGCTGCAGGAAGTTACTTGACTCTTCCAAATTCAGTTTCCTCTTCTGTAAAATGTTGATAATAGTAATTCTTATTCTTAGGCCTTTTGTGAGGAGTCAACAAGAAAAATCCAGGCCAAATGTTAAGGGCAGTGCCTGGCATATAGAGAGAAAGGGCTCAAAAAATGTGTGGCTCTGATTTTTAGGTTGTGATTTGCATAAATGTCTGCCCCTGGTGTCAGCTTTTTTTTTTTTTTTCCCCCCTGCTGGACCTGTTTTATAGCTTAGTTTCTTTGTCCCCTTGGGCTTCTGGAAAGTTCCCAGCATTTTCCCACTGTTGTCCATGTGGAGCCTGTGTCGGGGTGTGTGGCTGCGGCCTAGGGTGGTAGTAAGGCTGGCCCTCCCTCCCCGCGGTTGTGTGACATAAAATGTTCCCAACGTCCTCTTGGCTTTTTCTTTAGTGATTGAGACTCTGTTGTCCTTTCTCATAACTTTTCTCATTTAGGCTAGCAAAATGCTTGCTTTAGGTAGCTAAGATTAGATATGCCCATTTACTGTTTGTCGCCCTTCATGGCTAAATCTGTGAGAGCAGGAGCCATGCCAAACCTTTGTCACACATTGTGAACAACATGCCTACAGAGTTTGTATCCTGTTCTCGGATATTTTTGGATTTTTCTCGAGGACAAGCCATGTGCTTTTGAATGGCTTCTCTGCTATACCCCTTAGTTTACTGATTCTGAACATTGTGTCCAAAACAGCTTTCTTTTTTTCTTGATGAGTTAAAAGTCTTTTAAGGAGTGTGTTCTATCAGAGACCCTTCTGCAGAATAGATAGTACTCTTTGCCTTGATCTCGATGGTGGTTCCACCAGGTAATGTGTATACAGATATGTCACGTGATTGTGCAGTGTCCACTTAAGATTTGTTGTACCTCAACTTAGGAAAATATCAAAATTTAAAGTATACTGTAAGCTAGGCCTTGCGCTACTTTATGACAGCTTTTTGGGGAGTTGGAGGGAAGGCTCACTTGTTAAGGATTCATCACTATTATTTCAGGGCTCATGTAAACTTCCAGCCAGTGGCAGAAACCATGGGGACAGTTAGTCTGTGCATTCACTGTAAAGATTTAAAAGAAGTAACAAAACCCCATGAAAAAGTTGGTCTTCCTTCTTTATTCTGAGTATGTTGATGATAACATACCCGCCCTTCCAGAGTGTACTGCTTCCCACTCTGACTGTCCCTAGTCTGCCACTGCTGACAGCTTCAGAAGTTATGGGAGTTCAGTTTTCAAGGATTTGCTTTTAATATTTGGTGGAAAAGAAGTTTGGGATCTGTATAACTAGTCAGAGCTTGTTGGGCAGAATTTCTGAGGGTAAAGATGAGACAGAGCCATACTTAGAGAAAGCCCCCAAGCAGAAGAGTCTCCTTTTAATTAGTGAGCAAGATTTGATAAAACTTGATAAAATTTGATAAAATTTCACTTTAAGGAAATTTGTCATACTAACAGTTGTATTTCTGGTGCAATTTTGGTGGTAATGGGCGCTATACCTTTATTAATATTTTTAACTTTGTTCAAAGAAATAAATGTCCAGATTCTTTTTACTTTATTAAGGTAAACTAAATTTATATAGAAATGTGTGCAAATCTTCTTAAGAAATATTTATTTATTTGAGTGCATTGCGTCTCAGTTGTGGCATGTGGGATGTAGTCCCCTGACCAGGAATCAAACCCGGACCCCCTGGATTGGGAGTGTAGAGTGTTAGCCACACCGGACCACCAGGGAAATCCCTGTGCAAATCTTACATGCACAACTTATTGGTTCCCTATTGATACTGCGATCATTTACCGCAGTTAGTGGCTTTAAAACATCATAGAGTGACCATCTTTAGTTTGGGAGGTCAGAAGTCCTAAAATCAAGGTGTGGGCAGGGCTATTGGGAGCTCCAGAGGAGCATCCATTTCCTCGCCTTTGCTCCCTTCGAGAGACTGACTGTATTCCTTGGCACGCGGCCCCATCCTCCAGCTGCTAAGTCAGCATGCTAGCACCTCCCAGCCTGTGTCCATCTCTTGACGCTAACCTTTCTTCCTATAAGGGCCCAACCAGATAATTCAGGATAGTCTCCCCATTGCAAGATTATTAACTTAATTAATTAACTTAATCATGTCTGTGAAGTTCCTTTTTCCACATAAGGCAACATGTTCACAAGTTTCAGGGATTAGAATGTGGACATCATAGTGGCAGATTTATTCTGATTTTCATGGTATGTTTTTACAAGTAAACACAGCTGTGTAAACACTACCCCAGTTAATTTATAGAATATTACAGAATTCCAGACCCTCCTGAGGATTCAGGAAATAATCAAGAAATTTGTAGTATCACAGGCCACTGATTTAGAGTATTGATTATCATTATTTAGAACTATAAATTTTCATAAGACATCTGAGCCTGGGCTGATGAAATACTTTTTAAAAAATAAATCTTGAATGGCTTACCCATGATATTTGTCTCTAATTCATAAATACATCTATAAATACACACTAGCAAATTTGAAATTTTGAGATTTGTTTGGACTCTGGTGAGTGAGTGTATAACAGCCCATAGGTGTCACATGGATTTGAACTGACTGGTATTGGAGTTGCTTGCTGTACATTCTCTAGCCAACTTGGGATCCATCAGTTAAATATTAATGTCTGTCTGTTTTAGGAGCGCCATCAACTTCAACTTCAACTCCTGGAGCATGAAACAGAAATGTCAGTGGAAATAACCGATTCTAACAAAGAAAGGTAAGGTATACTGTCTTTTGTCTTGTAACGGATTTAGATGGTGGGCACACTGTGTTTGTGTGGGCTCACTTGGTCCTTGCATTTCCATTCGTTTGGTCATCACTCATTGCAGACTGAAAACATGTAAAACACTGGACTGAGAGCTTCCAGCCACATCTTGCAGCCCAGGGGTGGTGGTTAGAACAGTGGAACACGTCAGTGCCTATCACTAGTGCCAAAGTTCTGTCTATAAATGTTCCCCATAACCTTGAGCTCCATAGGATGCACCTTGTTGATGAGAAAATTCAACAGTGACTAATACCATTGCCGTGGAAACGAATTTTACAATGTCTTTGTTTCCAAACATTCTTCAGTAAAACCTTGCCTTGTCCCTTGGCTGTGAGTGTATAAAGCCCTGAATGGGAAATGCAGGAGCAATGAACTGCCTATTATGGAAACAGAAGGCAGAGAGTCCACACGTGGCTCTCTAGTGAAGGGAAACGAGGTTGGCGGGTGCTGAGCATTTGAGCAAGTTACTTAATCTGCCTGAGATCCTTTGCTTCTCTGTAAAATCAGAATTCTTTTTTAAAGTGGGAGGAATTAAAGTGATACTAATAGTGCCCATCTCATTGGGTTATTATTGTGAGAGAACTGTTGGCTGCACAGCCTGCCACAATGTATGCTGAAAAATACCTGTTCTCCTTCCTCTTATGTGACATCAGAGTTTGCAGAGTTCTAGGGATCTTCCCTAGTCTTTAAGGTTGTGCTAAGGAGGGACCCAGCAGAGATGGGAAGTGGTAAGCAGCCCACCAGACCCTTTGTCCATGTTCTAGTTTAGTGGCCCCCAAAAAGAGTCCATCTGCTGGTTCCTTGGGTTTATTTGAACCAAATAGAGTCTGAGGATAATCTGTGCTTTTTTTTTTTTTAAAACATGAAATATTTTCTGAGGTGGTTTTTTCTGTTTTGATGGAGGAAGGGTGTTTCAGCATATTTCCCATTTCCTCAAAATAAATGATGTGTGAAACAACTGTAATTCCTGCCTTCCTAGGACTCTGCCACTTGATTTCATATATGTTGTTGTGTTGCTAGACTCTTCTCTGTTTTCCTAATTGTGGCAATTATTGGATGTTCCAATGTTGTATTAACCCCCCAAAGAAACAGCATCTCATATCTGTAAGTGGTACAGCTCTTGGGAGGTGAAGTACCTGTCTTTACACAGGGTGACATTTGTGAGCAGGAACTTGAAAAAGAGCCCTGTGTTCCTTCTCCAGTGGGGTGGTTGGTCGGTGGTTAATAAACTAGGATATATACAAAGTAGGAAGAGTGCATCTCGCTCTGGGCGGTGTTTGTTTCGAGCGGTGACCTCGTGTGCTGGTGTTGCTGCGTTGGTCGAGGGTTCACTGGCTCTGTCTTCTGTCTGTGTTAGGTATCAGCAGCTGGAGGAGGCGTCAGCCAGCCTCCGGGAGCGGATCCGACATCTAGATGACATGGTGCATTGCCAGCAGAAGAAAGTCAAGCAGATGGTTGAGGAGGTAAGTGCTTGTGAAGGGTCATGGGCGTGAGATTGCTTCCAGTGGTGGGGACTCTTCAGCCCCAGAGACAGATAGGACTCTCAGCTCCGTCTTCTGTGGTTCGCAGTGAACTAGCTCAGGCCACTGCTGTCTTGGCCCAAAGGAGAAGCTCCTCATATGTCCCCTTTGGACTAGTGATGATCCCTCTAAAAGAGGGCTCTCTCCAGATCAAAAGGTTACAGTTAAGAAAGCTGGGAGGCACATTTCATAAGTTCACCCCCCTATGCAGGTGGGTGCCTTCAGCTCAGGGACAAAAGTGTCCTTTTTCTCTTTAATTGTAGTATGAAACTAAGGTACATGCTTACTAATTGTTGGACATAGTTTACTATCCTGTTTTTTCTAAATGAAAAAAACAGGTGAGTTGAACATTTATATTTCTCTAGGAGGAAAAAAAAATTTCTTTTAAGTTATGTTATAGTAACCTGTCTCTCTCTTGCGGTGGTGCTCCATAGGAGAAAATCCATGCCGTGTACAACATATTATCTTTTTCTTACTCAATTAAAAAAAAATCAGAAACAAGAGCAGTTAGTACCAACAAGGTTATAAGGGTTCCCTAGGGACTCATTCTCTAACTTGCAAAGAAAAGGTTTCGTTTTAATTAAACATTTGGTCGGCAGCAGAAAAACTGAAAAAAGCATTGTATGTGCTTATATTAAGCACAACTCTGAAAAGTTATTTGTTAATGGATTATTAAAATGAAAAGTATCTATTTCTAATAATTTACACATGTGATAGACAAATAGAAGATTAAACATATATATTTTTAAAAATTAATCTCTAAAATGTTGGAGCTATGAGTGGGGCTAAAGTCAGGGAATTGTGAGGGTGGGGAGGGACACCTTTTTAAATTTTGTGTAGAATAAACACACATTAGATAAAATCCTCACCCAAATGAGAAACCCACTTAACACGGTGTGATTGCCCTGGGTGGAGTAGAATAGAAGGGGGAGCAGGGGCTCCAATGAAGAAATTCTGATGCAGTTTCATGGTCCCTCGGCACAGCTGGGCAGGAGCACGGCCAGCAGCAGTGATGGGCAGGTCTTGCCCCTTATCAGCACTGTAGATGTCAGGGGTGTTTCCGAAGGAGAAGCATCACTTTGTCACAGTTAGTGTGTCAGGAACCATGGCAGTCAGACTGTGGCTTTTCTGCTTCTGACTTCACACTCATGGTGTCTGGGGCTGACTGCCCCTCATTTCCCCAAGGCGCTCCTTGGCTGTGGCATACTCCATTTTTCCTGACTCACCACAGGGTACTGTCTGCATTGTTTCCCTGTCTAATATTAGAGAACGGGCGAACAAAGCCTCATGTGCATTGGCTTCCGATTCAGTTTTCATTTGTAAGGGTTTAATGATCGGTCTTTTTAAAAAAATTATTTGTTTTTTGGCTGCACTGGATCTTCGTTGCTCTGGCCTTCCATGGGGCTTCTCTAGTTGCGGTGAGCAGGGGCTACTCTCTAGTTGCAGTGTGTGGGCTTCTCATTGTGGTGGCTTCTCTTGTTGTGGTGCATGGGCTTCAGTAGTTGTGGCATGAGGGCTTAGTGGTGCGATTCCTGGGCTCTAGAGCACAGGCTCAATAGTTGTGGCACACAGACTTAGTTGCCCTGAGATCTTCCCCAACCAGGGATTGAACCTGTGTCTTCTGCATTGGCAGGTATATTCTTTACCACTGACCACCGGAAGCCCTAATTGGTCTTTTTAAAAAGACATTTCCAAGTTTAGAATTCTAAGTTACTTCTGGAATCTAATAAACATACTGATTTGAAAGGAGTAGGGGAATAATTAGGGCTTCCCAAGTGGTGCTAGTGGTAAAGGACCTGCCTGCCAATGCAGGGAGACATAAGAGATGGGGGTTTGATCCCTGGGTCTGGAAGATCTCCTGGAGGAGGGCATGGCAACCCACTCCAGTATACTTGCCTGGAACATGGACAGAGGAGCCTAGCAGGCTGTAGTTCATAGGGTCTCAACTGAAATGACACAACTGAAATGACTTAGCACAGCACAGGGGAGTATTTACATATACAAATAAGGAAGCATCTAAAAATCACTGTCCATATCTTGCTTTAGTGTCTCTGATGTAATATCTACCAAATATAGCTGCTGTAAGTGCCAGTGATGTGATCTGAAAGACCCACCATTGAAGTGAAATCACAGGCTGAAATTTAGGATGTCCTCATCAGAGGCCAGCTGGGGCCAGCTGGGTTTCAGCAGTTAGATGGAGACAGAGAAAGAGAGCTTTAATTCTAAATTTAAACTAAAAATTACTTCTATCAGGTAATAAGAATTAAGGTATTTTTCCTGTACACCATGTTAACTCATACAACCGGATGGTTTAAAATCTCAATTGCTGTAGCCAATGCTAACTTTTTTTAAAAGTTAGGAACATGGAAAAGGGACAGATGCGCACACAGAGGAGTCCCGGATGAGGATGGAAAGTACTAGAACTCCAGTAATCCAGGGGATGGTTGAAGGACTTGGACAGGAGATGGCCACAGGGAGATGTGAGACGGGAGTTCACAGCTTAGGAAAACTAAGCTGGAGAAGAGGGAATAGATTTTCGTTTGTATTGCAATGCAAAGCCAGATTGGAGCCACTGGGTGGCACTTGCAAAGAGGCACATTTCAACTTTCTGTTCAGCATAAAGGAAGCATTTGTAGTGCCGGCTGCCCTGAAAGATATTTAGCCTTTAATCAGGTATGCACTTATGAGGAGAGAAGACAAGATAGAAACTCTTTATATAAAGGATTCTCTATTGTTTACTAGGTTGTGCTGTTGGTAGGATCTCAGCCTTTTCACTGCTTTGCATAATGAATGAAATCAGCAAAGATACACTAAATTTGGACCAAATTTTGAAAAATCTAGATGGCTGAATTAGTCATGTGGAGTCCTCAACTCTGGCTTGAGAAGAGAAGTCCCTTTCTATCTGTGAACTCCAGCCACCCAGACTTGGAGGCAAATTTGACTGGAAGATAGAGGCAACCTTTATGTGTCACCAGTGTTAGGGACAGTTTTCCCTGTCTTCTGTGAAGTCTGAAAGCCTGTCCCTGTGATGGCTTCATACTCAACAGGGGTAGGAATCCAGTCCTCATCCATTATTGCTGTCATCTGAGTCATAATGTCTGTGAAGAAAGTTAGTTTATTAAAATGATAGGCTTCCTTCTTCTCAAAACATCTAGGTATTATTACTGAGGTTCTTTGAATCCAGACATGTTAAGCAGTATATTCACTTCCACTCCAGTGGAGTGTAATTTCTTAATAATATACTAAATAAAAATTAACCAATCTTGGTATTGCCATCCTTAGCTCAATAATGATTTTTCATTGTGTGGGACAGTACACTTCCACAGGGATTTGTGCATGTAATAGGGGGCTCTTTTGAAATGAAGGATTAATACATATCTTATAGGGTCAAGTTCACTGAGAAGATACAGAGTATCTTGTGTGAAGTGTGAGCGCAGGTACCTCCACTTAGCTAGATCGTTGCACTCAATGAAGTCTCCTTGTGTGCCGTTTATCAGGGATTGGTCATCTCTCTCCCACCACTAGTTCTTCTGACTAGTTCTGGATCTGACAAATAGACACATACACACACACACACACATGCCCAAATATGCCCCTTTTAGACTTTTAAGAGTTTTCCAGAAAATACAGAGGCACTGAAAAGAAATAACAGTCATGAGGAAACTCACTCATCCATCCATTTACCAGATCCCTGCCTGCACTTTCTCTTTGCTGGGGCTGGGCACCAGTAAGGGGCGGGACAGATAGTGGCTCTGCCCTCATGGATCTTACTCTCTGGTGTTAGCTGAGTTCCAGTCATCCTTGCTCTTGGGCTTCATTCTTCTGTTGCCAGGCTGTCTTGGGACTGGGTCTTTTGTCTCAAATCAGGTAGAGTTCTTGAGCTTTGCTGCTAAAGGACACAGGAGATGAGCATATGGCTGCAAGAAACCTACAGCTCGAGCAGTGAACACCTGACATATCTTTAAATATCTCCAATCAACAAGGCCTTGACACCTCTTTCCCTGCTCTCATCAAGGCCCAGTCCTGTGCCAATCAAAGCAGCTTTCTGCCCAGGGGAAAATTATCTGGAGGAAAGCTATTTAAAAAATTTAAGTCCTCTCTGCCCTGAGAATCTTCCCTTTTAAATGGATCCACCATTTGTTAGCACACAGTTTATTTTAAAATTCTTGTGTGGTGTGGTGTGCTGAAATGTACAATGCAAAGCACGTTTTCGCCAAGTACCCTGTGTTTAGAGGATTCAGAGTGCTCTCCCTCACTGATAATTAGCCACCTGGGGGAAGGGGAAAGGAGCCACGGCGATGAGCCCACAACCCTAACCCGCTCAATTGCCCTGTTTCCAGATCATGTCCCACGAGCTCTTCTCCAGATTTAGTCTCCGGCTCTTTGGAAGATGACAAAATGGTAGCCTGCTCTGGGTTGGAAGCAGTTGCTTTCATTGTTCGTGGTTAGAAGAACACTGTATTCTCGCTGCTGGGAAGAGGTGGTGTGTATGTGTGATGAGCTGATGAACAAAACACAAAGGACATGCTATTGAAAGGAAAATGTGATGACGTAGGGCTCTTATTTGTGGAAACATCCACATTCTGTAACCTCAGCGTCTATGGCCTGACACTACACAATCAAGAGAACTCCAAGACCCATAGAGTATTTCTAGCAATGTGGGTTCCTAGACATCAAAGAAGGAACTGTGGTGAAAGATAGTACTAAAATATAATTTAAAAGTGCCAGGTGGAGGCTGGTCCTAAGATCTTGGAGATTGAAGCCTTATTTATGGAAAAGCTCTCAAGGACACCTGCCAAGGAGATGGGAAGCAGGCTCGAAGAATCTCAGTGTTCCGGGAAGAAGTACTCCCCACCTGATCACACCCCAGGAAATACAGAAGCAGCCAAGTGTCTCTGTCGTTTGATTATATTTGTATGTGAGAAGTGGCCCTGAGGATGTCA